TAGATCAAGTGTGTTAATTTTTATATTGATCTAATAGTTATAACCTCTTAATAAAAAATACTCTATTTACTAACATATATTTAATGGTATAAAATTTTGTTTAATCAATGAAATAGTTAGGTCTACTAAAACAATTTAAAAATTGACATGTATGATCTATATAAATAAAACTTTTAATTCAATAGTTAGTTTTTTAAAATATTAATTAAAAAGTAAGTTTTTAGACAAATCCTATATAAAATTTAGAAGAATGACTTACAAAACATTTTCCCCTTATGTATATATATGAGAATAGTCCATATTACATCTGATTTTAAAAAAGTAAAAAACATTAGAGTGCCAACTTGTTGTCATTTCATTTAATTAAAACGCAATTCAAAATTTGGAAATTCATCTTATTAAATGTTGACTCTTGGAAAACTCAATTTAAAATTCATAAATTCACTTTATTAAATGTTAATATATGGATTTGAAAACTAATTATATTAGAATAAATAAATAATTTTCAAATTTATATATCAATATTTAATAAAATGAATTTTTAAATTTTAAATTAGATTTTAATTAAATTAAATAACATTGTTTAAAGTTAGAATGTCATTTTTTTTAGTAGAGAGGAGTGATATGCACTTTTCCTAGACAAAGAGTATTCCCATATTCTAATTGGTCTTTAATACTTGGTAAGTAAAATATTACTAGTTTCTGTGTTTTAAAATAACTGTTGTTTTTTAATTTTTTTAATTAAGGATTTAAGGACAATGTTTATATTTATCAATAATATTCTTAAAAAAGAAATAGAAGACAAAAGGATTTTTTTTTTTTTTGTAATTGGATGATTAATTAAAAAGAATAGATAATAATATGGTTAAAGAATTAAAAAATTTTGTTTACTTAAAAAAAAAAAAGAATAACAATTAATTTGAGATAAATTTAAAATAAAAAATAATTATTATTTTAAAATTGAGAGAATGATAAAAAGTATAGAACTAATTCAGGCATAATTTTATCTAACAATTTGTTATATATTATTAAATGAATTAATGTATATAAATTTGTAGGTCAAATTTTCTACCAAAGAGAGTTTTACAATTTCTGCCACATAATAAAACTGTGAATTTTTTTTTATATTTATTCACTCTACTTTTTGAAAATTATGAAGGAAATTATTTTAAAATTACGTTATTTTAATAAAATATCACAAAAAAAACAAAAAATACTCTAATTTATATTTTAAAAATATATTATTTTAATTTTTTCAATAAATATTTATTAAAATGACATAATTTTAAAATATATTTTTTTAATCTTTAAGAGATAAGTTAGATAAAAAAAATTTTCTTTTAAATTATAAAGTTCTATTGTGATCAAATAGTTTTCATAAAAAAGAAAATTGAAAAGGGTAAAATCTTTTTTTGGTGTCCTTAACCTTTCTAACATGGGACAGTTTGTCCATAACCTTTTTTTTGCCACTAGCAGCCCCCAAACTTTTTTTTTTTTTAATTTGAAATATGTTCATATTTTATTTCACTTGAGGAAAAACATTATACAGATAACGAGAGCCTTCTTGGATCCTCAGCTACACATTGCATAATATTACTAGGTAACTCTTCTGCCCAATACTCATCATCATCATTTGTTAAGGCTCTTTTTGCCAACTCATGGGCCACACTATTCCCCACCCTTCTAACATGCCGCACAGAACAGTCATCTAGGCTACTTAGTAACCTTCGACAATCATCAAAAATCATTTCTAACTCTAATATCCCACCTTGGTCTGTAGCAGCCCCCAACTTTTGAAAATGTCTACTATTAGTCATTCCGTTAGCGTATGCATTAAATCTAATAGAAATTATGAGAGTGCAAATATGAGGCACCTAAGTTGACCCTTTAAATAGGAAAAGGAACTTGCATATCTGTTTTTTCTCTCTTCTCCATGTCATAGATTAAGCCCACTTAAAGGGACCATTAAGGGCCTTGTTATTCACCACAACATCAATCTCTACTGCACTTAATGCCCAAGTTGAGAAAATGACTTATAATGGACATTTTTCAAAAGGTTTGGAATTATTGGTGGTATGAAATGAAAGATAGGTATGAAATTGTCTATGTCAGAAATGTTAGGGATACAAATACGGATCTTCCCAAAAGAAATTGATATTTCCGCTTCAACTTTTTCCATCCTTTTATTTTTTAAACTGCCACTGTCTAATAATTTGAAAGACTTGTTATAAAATAGCTTGTGATTTATAATATAAAATAATTTAGATTATAAAATATTTTTTTATTTCTTAAGTTACAATTAAATCTCTTTAGCATGATTTTTTTTTCTCTCTCTGCTGATTGTGCCTTACTACCTTACATGAATGATGAAACGGCCAAGAAACTAACCATCAATACCTAATTTATTCAGGAAAGTTCATTGATTGGATACACACTCATCAAGTAAAAACTACATTACATTAAAGAAAAAAAAATCTTATTCGTCCTGCCATAACATCTGAGCCTAGAGAAAATGGTTTTTGCCTAAAGGGAGATGTTCCAACTTCCAATTAACGAAGTGTTTGAAATTTTAAAAGTATGGAGAAATTAAAAAAATAAAAAAATCTATATTTTATACTATAATTTATTATTTAATATAAAAAATAATTGTTTAATAAAATAATGTTTTCTCTTTGTTGTCCTTGTAATTAAAAGCATTAGTTTAAAATTAAATATATATTATTAATTATTATATACTTCAAATCTATTAAAGATATTATTTTAAAAAAACTTTACAATTAAATTCGCTAGTTTAAAATTAAATATATATTATTAATTATTATATACTTCAAATCTATTAAAGATATTATTTTTTAAAAAAAATTTACAATTAAATTCGCATGATAATAAGTGGAATAAATTAAGTAACGAAAGCTACTTGATCTCATTTTATAATTCAAGATAAAAAAATACAAGATGACTGGTAAAAAATGTACAATAGTAATAGGAAAACACAGAAATATCACTAAAAAAAAGCAGGCAGAATATCGTCCCAAATTTATTATGGAGAGGGGGTTGTAAGAGAAGAGGAAAGAAAATACAAAAAAGAAAGGTCAACCTAAAACTCTTTATCTTTTTTGCCCTTTTTGTTTGTATTACTATTATCATGGTGTCTCTGAACTCTGAATTCTGCTGATGAAGCTTCTATATACATATCCATGGCTACCTTTCTAGAATTTTCTGGGAGTTGAAGGGATGATCTTGATGACGAGACCCGGAAAGACGTCATCCGGGTCTTGGATATGCGGGTTCCGCTCCACAATAAACGGGTCTCCGCACTTGTCGCTGATGGTGTGGAGAGTCTCGCCTTCTCCGACCACGTAGATTTCATCGCAGGGACGGTGGAGCAGCTGGCCGCCCCTGACTGTATCGTCCTCCGCCTGAGAATTCGCTCTGATAGAACCCACCAGTATCAACGCCAGTATTACGGCGGTGAAGTACCACGACGTTCTATCAGCAGATACCATCGATCGTCGACTCTGGGTTTTGGATGAGGAAGAAGAAAGCATGTTAATTTCTACAAAAATTTTGAAATTTTATAAAGTGAAACAAAAGGGTTTGAATTATAAAAGGAGAGAATACATTGATATTGAATTTATAGTGATGGATTAAAGACGGTTGGTTATTTGGACGTATAAGTTGGGGACTTGGGGGAGGTTGGGTTCAACGACAAGGATAGCCGTGTAAGCAAGGGACCAATGAAAAAATAATGGGATAACGAAATTTCCAGTCAGCAGATTACATAAGACTAATTCATACCTTTGAAGAAGAATTTTTTTTATTTTTTTGGTTGCCCAAAAGAACAGGGGAGGTGCCCTCTTTTTTCTGTGATTCTGATTTCATATTGTACAATTTAAATATGAATTTTTTATTTTTATTAAAAAGAAATTGTTGTTAAGCATTGACTTTGAATAGTGTTAATTTTCTGGTCCCTCATACCTTTAAAAGGTTTGATGTTAATATATATATATATACATATATTTCTTTATGCAAGGTTGGAATATTTGATTAAGAATATTAATTGGATCAAGGGAGTTGAACTTAATACACCCAACCTGAGATAACACTACGCCAAACAAAAAAACAGTTAAAAAAGTGCATAACTTGGGAGGAAGCACTAACTAGTTGGGTACATATATTATGATAATTAACAATTTGTTAAATCAAGTGGAAGAAATTTGATTTTTTTTAAATAAAATTTTAAATTCAAGTTTTGTAAATAAAGAAACGAGCACTAAGAAAACTTTTTTTTTTATGAGGTTTAACACTATTTGACTCTAAATTAATCAAGATACCGAAGAGTTTAGGATTAAAAATATATATCATGACAATTAACTTTAGTTAGCATCAATGAATTGGTATTTTACCAATATATATATCTTTTGGATGAAATTGTATTTTACCAACTTTGTGGGAACCAAACATGATAATGCAATTGATACTAAAACAGTACAACTTCAAGGGATGGAAACATTTCCAATTTCTTATCCATACCTAATTAATGTGCAAACAAGAAATTTAATCATTTGTAGAAATTAATTTTTTCTTCAACAAGTCGTTTCTTATAAACAAACCCTTCCCTATTCCATCATTTGAGTTAATAATGGTTTTCTTTGTAGGAAGGCTAAAGCAAGAGGACCATTGTATTCGGTGGTTGGAAGATCGTCCTCATGTGGGTATATGGTGACAAAATGCTTCTCTTTTTGCCCATTTCCTTCTTAAGTAACTGCACTTTTGTACATTGGGCAACCAATTTAGTGTTTTATAATTTAAATTATATCAAACAATAAAGCACAACAATCAAATTAGAGAAAAATCTACCCTTGCATTTATGAAACAACCATGAAAAAAAAATAATCGTGTCAAAATTAATTAACCTTGCAACATATTTGTTATACTTATAAAAGCATATACTACATAATTCCCATCTTCCATCCCTATTTTCTAATGATGTCAAAAACGTCGTCATTAAGAGGAGAACTATAAGGAATAATTAAAACCGTTTCTCTTTTTCACATTTTTCTATTTTAGAGAGAAATTCATTAAGGGCATTTACGTACATATACGTAAAGGCACATTTTGCAATTTTGAGGTGACGTTTTAGGAAGAAAATGGAGGAAGGAGGGATGCATTGTGGCGTAGGATGGAATTGATGGATGCAAGTAAAGACTTTGGTAGAGAAATAAGTGCAAATTGCGTGAAGTTGTGGTCTCCCCTTTGAAAAACTCTGCATGTAACCATCAAAAAAATCAACAGACCAACTAACACTAAAACCATATTTTGGGCAACAACTATGCTTTTTAATTTTAAGAATTGAATTTATTAATAAATAAATATTATTTTATAAATTAAATTTGATTAGATTTTAAAATTTAAAATTAGTATCTAAAGAAATTAAATTTTCTCAAATGTAATGGGTTGATTTGTGAGATATACTCTTAAAATTGCCTAATAAAAAATAAGGAATTAGTTTTGATATCCATAAAATAAACCTTAAAACATGATTGTCCAAACCCAAACAAGAAAAAATACCATGCCTTTTCTCTTTATTTATTATTAATACTGTAGTAGTTCGAGTCTTTGGTGCAAAAGATTTTTAAGGACCAAAATTTTGATTTCCTCCCTTAAGTGCGCATGCCCTTTATTTATTTATTTATTATTTATAATCAAAGTATTTTTAAATTAGTTTTGATATATCTAAAAACTATGTTTTCTTAAATGGCTTAAAGAACATGCCCTTTATATTAATTTGATATATTTAAAGAAAATAATTTTTTTAAATAATAATTCTAAAACTTGAATTCTAAATTTAATTTATAAAATGATATTTACTAGTTAATACATCTTAAGTTACCGTTTACTACTTTTTTGTTTTTTGACAAGGGCAATGATTAAAAATTAAGAGTTAGAAGTTAATATCTTATTTTTTAACAAGATTCGACCATTTGTCAAGATGTATTTCACCGACAGTCCTTTTAAACTGTAGTGACACCGCTGGATCACAACAGTAAATACGTTTATTACCTTTTTTAGTACAGCAAAATACGGAAGTCATCCAAACATAAAACAATACTCATTATCGAAAATGACCTTTTCTTTAAAAAACAAAAAAACAAAAAAACAAAAACAAAAACTGTGGCAATCGAATCGATTTTATAGATTCCCTTCTTTTGCCGTGGAGAAAAAATTTTAGGAGGGACCGCTTGAGCTGACTGGACCAAGTCTTCCTAACTTCACACTACTGTTGCCTTTTTGGACCAATTCAAAGGCACAACGTTTGTTGCATGTTGGTGAGCTTCATTTTTGTCAAAGGAAATATGGTTTGAGTTCAGTTCAGTCTGGTTCAAACCGGCCAATAAATTGAAGAATATAAATTCAACCCTATTTGTAAACACTCCAAGGGAATTGGTGCATAGCTTGATTGTAAGAATATTTGCTTCCTACCCTTGCCCTGTTTCCATCCTTAATTGAGGGACTGTTGGGTACATAAGTTTTAGTTTAGCTAGCTGTTTGAACTGATGATATAAATGAAAATATTTAAATTATAAATAATGTATTTTAACTGTTATTTCAAACATCCTATAAAATTTTATTAATTTTTAAAATATGTTGTGAACTAAGATAAAAAATATATATTATGAAGTATATTATAGAAAGCCCACAAGATCGATAGCATATATACTAGAATTCCCTCCAAACATCAGCAACTCCAACTAAATGGAATATTGGGTGAAATGATGTAAATTTTGAACAGCATTAAGAATCAATCCGTAATTAATTAGTGGGAGGCCGCTTTGGCTTGTACTTTGTCTTCATGATCTAAATGAACCACATTTTTAATGCTTTCCCTGATTGGAAGTAATACTGTAACACTACCAACTAAGGGTTAGATCAAATGGTAAGTGGTTTATTTCGGCTTAAATAAAATTTTTAGTTCGAGACCTTGTGTACGCAGCAATTCCCGCTGGAAGACTCATCCACCATTTCTAAGTGCGCGACGCAGGTTGGATCCGGATTTATCGAGGTAAAACTCCGGATACCGGGCGAGAAACCAAAAAAAAAAAAAAAAAGTAATACTATAACACCATAGGATAAACTTTATATCCCATCAATTAATTCTCAAATTAAATAACATCACGCGTAACATGAAAAAAAAGCTGGTGGACATGAAATAAAGAGAGGAAAAAATGTTTAAAACATTAATTGACATCCCAAGAATTAATTCAATGCTTAGACCCCACAATATTTTTGTACTAGCCGCCTATGGTTGCTGTCTCTTGTATGTGTCTGATTTATCTAGCCAGGCCAAACTTTTATAATTTGTAATGAAGGCAATTTAAGTTCTTTGAATGCAAAACCTATTTGGGGAAACAGGGAGACCTTTCAATGCCCTCCCCCCTTTACAAGGTCTTGCAATTTGGATGGCGCTTATTGCACAGCAGTACCATGCCTTAAAATGATAAAAAACAGCAGCATGTTTATCATGCTAAAAAGTTATGTCAGACCCAAAGGATGGATTTGATTTTTTTTTTTTTTAAATGTTAAAAGTGAGATTAAAATTCTACCATTGTTAAATTTTATGTGAGAAATTGTTTATAAAATAAAGTGATCATTAGATTACGAATAACGTTTAAAAACTAATATATCAAAAATATTGTTAATCGGGGCCTGTGGTTCAATTAGTTGGCCGAAGCGGAGGTCAGGGCTTCGAGCTCTGCCACCGCCGTGAACTCCATCAACTTGCAACCTAATGGTCGTGCGCCTCAAATGAGGGGTGGAACGTTCACTTTCCTAAAAAAATTTCAGCTGCTAACAAACTAACTCTACTTTCTAACCATCTACTTGGTCAAAAAAAAATATATATCAAAAATATTATTGTTTATTAAAAAATTTAAAATGTACATTATTTTAATAAAATATTATTTAAAAAATATTTAAATAGTCTTTATTCCTAAGTAAAAAAATGTTTTCTAAAGATTTAAAATTTTTTTTAAGTACTATTAATTTTAATCACCATGCCATAAGCACGCCGTCATATGTTGTCCAATTTTTTATAGGCCCAATGCGAGTGATAAACATTTTCTTACTCCATCAAAAATACGAATGAAATTCCAATATCTTTCGGAAAATAAATAAATATAAATAAATAAAATGAAACCACCTGCCCGCCACCGCCGCATCTCCAATTCTCATGAGACTCGCGAGACCCTTTTCCCGCCTCTTTGGCAGTTCCTCCTCCTCCTCTTCCTCCTCCTTGACGGCCCATAAACGGCAGGAAGTAGCCAAGAACACACTCTGCATCAACTCTGCAAAAGAGCTTCACGCACATCTTATGAGAATTCTTCTTCACACAGACCCATATTCAATATCCCCTGTAATCAAGTCATACGTACTCTCTCCCTCTCATCTGCACAAAGCGCACCTTATATTCAGTCAATTTGAGCGACCCACATGGTTATTATGGAGCCACATGATCCATGGTTTGTCTCTAAGTGATCGACCGGATGAAGCCATTAACTTGTACCATAAAATGTATTTTCAAGGTTTTGCTGGGAATAATTTGACGTTTATATTTGTTTTCAAGGCCTGTGCTCGGGTTTCGGACGTTCTGCGTGGTCAAAAGTTTCGTGTTCGTGCTTTAAAACTTGGGTTTGAGTCGTATCTTTTTGTTGTAAATGCAATGATTCACATGTATGCCTGTTGCGGTGATATGGGTTCTGCAAGGAAGGTGTTTGATGAAATGGCTGAGAGAGATTTGGTCTCTTGGAATTCTTTGATTTGTGGATATAGTCAATGTAATAGACATAAGGAGGTGTTGGCGTTGTTTTGTGCAATGAAAGAAGCTGATGTGAAGGCTGACTCGGTGACATTGGTGAAAGTCATTTTAGCTTGTAATTATATAAGTGATGTTGATTTGGCTGATTCTGTGGTTAAGTATGTTGAAGAAAATTGTATTGCAATTGATGTTTATCTGGGAAACACTTTGATAGATATGTACGGTAGGCGTGGTTTGGTGAATTTGGCATGGAAAGTCTTTGATAGGATGGGCAAAAAAAATTTAGTTTCTTGGAATGCAATGATCATTGGTTATGCAAAAGCAGGGAACTTGGTGGAAGCAAGAAAGCTATTTGATCATATGCCACAAAGGGATGTGATTTCATGGACTTCAATGATCACAGGTTACTCTCAAGCAAATCAATTCTTGGAGGCACTGAGTTTTTTTCAAGAAATGATGGCAGCTAATGTGGTACCAGATGAGATTACAGTGACTAGTGTTCTTTCGGCTTGTGGTCATTTAGGCTCTCTTGATGTTGGAGTGGCAGTTCATGACTATATCAGAAAGCATGACATAACAGCTGATGTTTATGTTGGGAACTCTCTGATAGATATGTATTGCAAATGTGGTGTGGTTGAGAAGGCATTGGAAGTATTCCATGAGATGAAAGAAAAGGACTCAGTTTCATGGACATCGGTCATCTCTGGACTTGCTGTTAATGGCTTTGCTGATTCTGCACTTGAACTTTTTTCTCAGATGTTGAGAGAATGTGTTCGGCCAACTCATGGATCCTTTGTTGGGGTTTTACTGGCATGCAGCCATGGTGGATTGGTAGATGAAGGATTGGAGTATTTTGGAAGTATGGAAAATGTATATGGACTAACCCCGGAAATGAAGCATTATGGCTGTGTGGTAGATCTTCTAAGCAGGTCTGGCTATCTTGACAGGGCCTACCTATTCATAAAAGCAATGCCTATAGATCCAGATATTGTACTATGGAGGATACTATTGAGTGCATGTAAGCTTCATGGAAATTTGACCTTAGCTGAGATTGTAGCAAACAAGCTTCTCGAACTGGATCCTTCCAACAGTGGGAATTATGTTCTCTTGTCAGATACTTATGCAGGTTCAAATAGGTGGGATGATGCTAAGGAAATGAGAGAATTGATGCAGGAGAGCAATGTGCAGAAGCCATCTGGTTGGAGCTCCATTGAGGTAAATGGGACAACATAAAAAGCCTCAGAGGACCAGCATTTCTCCAATCCTCAAAGATTAAGCACTGAATGGTCCCACTAACATTGGATTTCCTTATGTCATAGCTCTTAGCAGCATGCTATCTCTCAAACTATTAGTCTCCAAAAGGACATGCTACAAAGGAAATGGCTAGAGTTTATATCACAACATGTAAACAGCTTGGTGTATTATCAATGTTAGGTAATCCTGGGCTCCTGGCCCTGGGTGGTTCTGGAGGTTGTGGGCAGCTATCATGCTTATGTTGGGACACAACTGTGGCTTGAGAGCTTTTTAAATCTGGTGGTTCAAATGAGGGCAAGAATCTGTGAAGAGAATTATCCTTTCTTCAGTCTGAGGCTAATTGGACGAGGATTTCGTGCAAGGAAGATAAACCAAAATGGTTTTCTCATTGATGATGTTCAAGGTAGCTAGCTACTATCAGGAATTCTTGTACCGTTGGTGAATGGCTTTCTTAAATTTTGAGTTAAGAGTGAGGGGCCATGGATATTTTGTGCTTCAATTCATGGAGTTTTCTGCTGTAGCACTACTGCTGTACAGGTTTTTGATTCATTGCCAATTGATTCCTGGAAATAAAATATGATTTCACCCGAGTCAGCGAGGGATGATAACTTTCTCCTGCAATAACTCATGTTATCCTCTAATTTGTTGTTTTGGTAAGAGACTGCATTGCAAACAATAGAAAAATCATCATATCAGCTGGATGGAGAAAAGGCAGGTACACTTATTTCTATGATAAGATTGTTCAAATATGTAGAGTACTCTTATTGAACTAGAGGGCTGTAAGATGTCCTTAGCAGATGGTCTGTCCTTCAAATTACCATCCATGAAATTAGTCCCTGTAAGAGAGCAATAACTTTGTATCTTTTACAGATTAAACATAACTTTGATGGCAGAGCCCCCACCAGCACTAGTTTTGAATGCTTCTTCTATCTCCTCCTGGGAGAAGCCAAACCTGTTTGTTATAAGGGGCTTCACATCAATCTTCCCAGTCCTCAAGAACTCAATGCAGAGTGGCCATGTGTTTCTATACCGGAATATGCCAATTACATCTATCTCCCTGTCATTTGTCAACCACAAAATTGAAGAGAAGTGCTTAAATTATGTTTTAAATGCTTGACAATGTTTTTGATTACCGTGCAGCTGCAGGAGTAAGAGGGACAGTCATTTCAGTTTGGGCCAATCCAATAAGGCAGACTTTGCCACCAGAACGAGTAGCACTCAATGCTGTAGACATGGTTTTGTTGACACCAACACAATCAAAGGTCACATCAATGCTTGAAGGTACTGCACTTTGTATCTTCCTCACCTCTTCGCTGATGTCCTGTACAAGCATTTCATTTGGAAGGTCATAACAAGCTACATAACCCTAGAATGGCTCTGGGTATCCAGAGATGAAATGAACCTGAATATCTGTTGAAACTTGTATAGTCTCATCTGCACCAAGATCCTTTGCCATGGATAAACGGCGAGCTTCAACATCCACAATGACAATTCTGGGTGCTCCAAATGCATGAGCAGCCAACAAGGTTACCAGGCCAATAGTACCTGCTCCCATGATCAAGACACTAGTTTCAGGTCCTATGTTTGCTCGGCGACATGCATGAACTCCAACACTGAGAGGTTCACACATTGCTCCTTCCTCCAAGCTGACATTATCTGGTAATTTATAACACAAACTTGCAGGATGCACCACCTGATAGCAGAGGAAAACAAGAAAATTTCCACTTTTTTGAACTGCTTATATTTCGTACAAGCCAGAAACCAAGTCATTTTTATCACCTTATTGGCTAGAGAACCATTAGTTGGTGGAGAACCAAAGAACTTCATTTGTCGACAAAGATTGTAGCGACCATCCTTGCACAGATCACATTGCGTGCAACTGATGCCTGGCTCCAATGCCACACGATCACCAACTGCCAGGTACTCCACCTCACTCCCTACCTCTTCTATGATCCCGGCACACTCATGCCCGATCACCATTGGTTTTTTCACAATAAAGTTTGCACATCTCATATGCTATATACAGTACAAACCATAGCAATTTCTTAGCATGTAACAGGACAAATGTTGAATCAGCATAAATGGTGTTACAGACACAGGGAAAGATAGATGTTTTTTTTTTCCTCTTTTACCTTAAAGTGATGAATATCACTTCCGCAGATACCTAGAGCTTTTATACGCACTTTCACATCATGAGGACCTAAGATTAGCCCATAGTTATTCATCCAAAGCACATATAATATCAATTCCCCAAGTCAGATTATTCAGATCATTGCTGTAAAACATGATTATCATCCCATGAAAGCGTGTACTGAAGTGAGGAAAGGTTAGAAGATTTTACCAAGGGGAGGGAGATGGTAAGGTTGAATTTTGAGGTTTTCGATTCCAACCAGCCAAGCTGCCATGTTCTCCTCTCGTCCATCCCCTTTGCTTTCCTGAATTCCGGCACCTCCATCTGCCATCTCTTGCCGTCTTTTCTTTCTCTCTGTTGACTGTTGGTTCTGACTTTTCGAGTTGCTCTTTCTTTGGTGTAGTTTTCAGAGTTACGTTTCCAAATTGTCTTTCATTTCACTGTGTGGATGGTCAATTCCTTCTTTCTTTTTCTTTTTTTCTTTGAATGTAATAGGAATCAATTCCTGATAAAAAAAAATAATAATAATATAAAAAACAGGATAAGCAAGAAACTTTGAGATATGATGATTGGATAAGCCTAAGAAGTTTGGATATTTGACTCTAACTATTCTGATTCTTAATAATCCTTATTGGTCAGCTAGCCACTACATCATTGATGCATATTTTGCTTTCAAGTTGTGATGGCTCCTTTATTTTATCCAATTCTATTATTGTCCAGCTAAATTTAGTCATCACAAGGATTAAAATTTTTAACCATCAAGACTTAGTCGAACAGGCGGATGCATGACGCTAGATTTGGTAAAAAATTCATATGATCAATGCTAATGCCACAAAACTTATTTACTAAACTTTCTCGGAAAACCCCTGGATATCAAATTAGTAGCATCTCATCTTGTATTTATTAACTGTAATTTCTTTAAGAATTATTTTATTTTTTTTAACTTAGGAAATTTTTTAGGATGAAGGTAAATAGTATCTGAATATAGAATTTAAAATTTTATGTTCAAGGTTTTTTTTTAAAAGATGGTCACTAAATCAGTTAGTAGATTATAATTTTTTTAAAAATTAAGTGCTTAATTAGCTTAATTTTTAATTTCTTGGGTAGGAAATGTAGTTCAGAAACAAGGGGTTAGGTGGGATAAATAGATAATAAAAGCGTAATTTCTTGGGCAGGAAATGTAGTTCAGAAGAAACAAGGGTTGGGTGGGATAAATAGATAAAAAAGCGATGGAAGAGAGAAGTGGAGAATGCGAAGTCCTCTTACAAAAGCTTCTGCACGGAGGCCAAAGTCCCACTAAATTCACATGGCCGTTAAAATTGTATCGGTTCAAATTTCTCAGCAATAGTTGATTTTAGTGAAATATTATTTAATTTGATAATAATTATAAATTTTTTTAAAATAATTAATTTTAATATTTAAAAATATTAATATAAATTAATTTTAATTTAATAAATAATAATTTTTTATCTTAATTATATAATAAGAGATAATTATATTATATTTTTTATTTATTTCACTTTATCCATATATCATATAATTCGAATTCAAAATTTTTTACTTATAATAAAAAAAGTAATCATTTAGTTATTTAAGTTATTGATAATAAATATTAAATATTAATATATTTTAATATTTAATATTTATTAATTACCAAATTAAATAAAATTAAAAAATGAGTCGGCATCCTGGCCAGTGTATTGGGATGGCTGCAAATCCAATTGGGGACGGAAGATCCACCAACCGAAAACCCCATTGGAAGGGGGCAAAAGTCCAAAGCATGTGCCATCCCTATTTGGAAAGGGCCACAACTTTCGAGTGTGGTTGCCATCCAACTAAGCTTTTGCCGGTGAAAGAATAAACACCATTGTCAAGGCAGTACAAGTTGTAATTGGGATATTTTTGGGTGAAGAAAAACGAGGACCGTTTATTGCGTGCGGGAAGCGCGACCCTGGGACCACGATAACAAATTGGCTGAGTCCTACGTAAGAATTAGTAGATTTTAGGGAAGGGGTGGAACCCACGAAAACCAAATAAAATAGTCGAACATAATCTCTCTCCTAGTCACTTTGGATAACATCTGACGGATATATGACTCGTTGCTTTGCTGTCTTGGGAAACTATTGCTTATCTTATTAAAACACTTGCAACCCTGTAGATGAGGCACGAAGCCAAATAAAGAGAGGCAGGCGGCGAGAGAACCGATGAAGTGAGGCATATTCCAACATCTCATTTTAGGGAAGACCGTTCATAAGAACTACAGTGATTTCGCTTACTGTTATAAGCATTTTTTATATTGCACACGGGCTAGGTATGTACTTGGCTAAACCTTCCAATTTACTGTAAAAGACAACCCGCTATAAGTAGGAAGCGTGCTCCACTCCTTTTTCCTATTGGAAATCACATTTCTTTCGTCTGGCTGTAGCTAGGTGCAAGCGGTGATCTCGGGGTTTGTGAGTGTATTGCTGTTGCGCAATTTAGGAGAGCAGGAAGATGGGTAAAGGAGGGATGTCTCGTGGAGATGCTGGAGATGAAGAAGAGGAGAACATGGCTGCTTGGCTTCTTGGCATTAACGACCTCAAGATCCAACCTTTCAAGCTCCCTCCTCTTGGTATTCACCGCAATCCATTATACTATCATCTTTGTTTGATCATTTACCTTGATTACTAACGATCTCATTCTTCTCTTCTTGGGTTCTCTGAGTCAATGGTCTTTTTTTCAAAAAAAAAAAAAAATTCTTGAATTTGACCATGGTTTTAGATACCCTTTTGCGCTCATTGTTTCATGGAGTATTGATTGTGTTAATTTGGGTTCACTTTGAAATTTTCAGGTCCTTATGATGTTAAAATTACTATGAAAGCTGTTGGTATCTGTGGAAGTGATGTTCATTACGTCAAGGTGCCATCTTTCTTCTGGCTTTTTTTCTTTTTTACACTTTGCATCAAAACCAGAATGTTAAATGCTAATATTTTCAGGCTTTGATAGTTTAATTTAACTACTTTTGGTTGTTGAGACTATACCAAAATGAAAATTGATCAGAATTTTGGATCTTTCTTATAAGCATTTCAAGCATGTATACAGCTATGCCTATAACTAAGACTTTCTTTTGGATTGTATATCTTTATTTGGGAAACCAAATATAGATCAAAATGAATTCAGGATTGAGATAAATTAGAATAGGAAATCCCACTATTTGCCTTGAATTTTACCTCTAACTTGTGTGGCTTTAGCATTTGAGCTGTGCAGGTTTTGTAGTGAAAGAACCTATGGTGATTGGACATGAGTGTGCTGGGATCATAGACGAGGTTGGAAGTGAGGTGAAGAATCTGGTTCCTGGTGATCGCGTGGCACTGGAACCACAGATCACTTGCTGGCAATGTGATCGTTGCAAGGAAGGTCGGTACAATCTGTGCCCCGACGTGAAATTTTTTGCCACTCCACCAGTTCATGGTTCTCTTGCTAATCAGGTTTGTACATAAGCTGTATTTCAGTTTCAGTTTAACATTAACGTGGTTTATATCCTTGCTGGATATAAATCATATTATGCTTATTCAAACATAGAAACCAATAGATTTGATTTCAAGCTATATTATTATGGTGTATAATTCATTCGGAGACCTTGATCTGAAAATTCTTTTGCTCCCTATGAAGCAGGTGGTATAAAATCTCCAGTCTGAAGAGGTTTGAGAATAGAATTTTGCTAGTACCTTTAACTTTCTTGAGACCAGAAAATCAAACTTCATCTTGAAGTCTTAATTTTTAGACTCATGCTGTGATGGCTTTGGTCGCTCTGCTTTGATTTGCCGTTGCATATTGATGATCAATCAACATGTGTTTCTGAAATTGTGATGATTTGTGCCACTCATAATCTGTCTGATTATTTTTTCCACCTGTTCTTGTCTTGTCATTAATTAGACTCTACAATCTAGAAATTAGTTAATTATTTCCTGCATTATCTCTGTTGAATTTGATTGCGCATGTGATTTAGTTGAAGCTAAATAGACACTATAGAGCTCTAAACTTCTACCTATAAATTTCTGACTATGCATTTGTCTTCATCATCACCTTGGTACTAATAGTGAGGTCGCTACTAGGATTTAGGCAATTTTGATCATGTTTAGCATCTGTTTTACAACAGATTTTATTTCACGAACATGTAATGGCCTTCTCTTTTCAAACATTATCTTTGGTCAGATCAACCGTACACATGCATATTGATCATCAATTTTTTTTTTTTTTTCATCTATTGGAAAGTGGATGAGATGAATTCAATGGAGTCAAACTTTTGGGACAAATAGAGTTAACACTTTACGTTGAATTTTTAATGTAGGTGGTGCATCCTGCAAACCTGTGTTTCAAACTGCCAGACAATATGACCTTGGAGGAGGGAGCTCTGTGTGAGCCCTTAAGCGTTGGGGTTTATGCCTGCCGCCGAGCCAAAGTTGGTCTATATACAAACGTTTTGATCATGGGAGCAGGACCTATAGGACTTGTCACAATGCTGGCAGCTCGTGCTTTCGGTGCACCTAGAATCGTCATAGTTGATGTGGATGATCAACGATTATCTGTTGCTAAGAATCTTGGTGCGGATGAAATTGTTAAAGTTTCAACAAGTGTGCAGGTCTGTAATGCCCTTAAAATCATTTCCCTTTCGGTTTGGCAAAGCATATCATAACTTTATTTTCAATTCACTGTAATTTAATAATCATTATTTAAAAATTTAGATCTTCATCCATATTTATGGGGTCCCTTAAAACTTCAGTTTCAAGTTCACCTCATCAGAACATTTTACTCCACTATTAAGTTTGTATTTATATTTTTAATCACTTTCTTTATTGAGGGTTAGTTTTACTTCTTCAATGGTTTGTCCTCATATATCTTCTTGAAAATATCTCTATTACTTCTGCAGATGTATATTTTTTCTGTTTTTTATTATTTACTTTTTGGGTGTTGGGTGTGTGGATCTTGAGAAGGTTTCATATATATTGTATGTCCCTATGTCACAAGAAAAATTACCTGAGATTCTTTTTCATCAATCTTCTGTTAATTTAAATTTTCAGGATGTACCTGAAGAAGTGGAAAAGATAACCAAAGCTATGGGGGCACGAGTGGATGTAACCTTTGATTGTGCAGGCTTTAGCAAGACCATGTCAACTGCTCTGGCTGCAACTGGTACTGGTGGTGTAGTCTGCCTCGTAGGGATGGGTCACAATGAGATGACTATTCCCCTGACTCCAGCGGCTGCAAGGTGCTTGATTTAATCTTACATTAAAATTTTGGGCTATACAATTATGTATGGTCTTAGTGGTGCTAGAAACTTTAGGAGTTGGACATTTACCGACTTTGTTCCACATTTTCTTATTTGTTTCATACCTGATTGACTGAATGGTTAATGATTTTCTTCAAATATACAGGGAGGTAGATGTAATTGGAGTCTTCCGTTATCAGAACACATGGCCACTGTGCCTGGAGTTGATAAGCAGTGGAAAGATCGACGTGAAGCCTCTGATAACCCATAGGTTTGGATTCTCCCAGAAGGAGGTGGAAGAAGCCTTTGAGACCAGTGCTCGTGGTGGTACTGCTATTAAGGTCATGTTTAATCTATAAGTTCCTAGTTCATCCTACCATCATAGCAAAGAAAACTGCTTGTGTGTAAGATTTCATCACTATCGTAATGAAGGAACGTGAAAGAAAATAAAATAAAATATAAGGTTGAAGCATAGTTTTAAGATGCATGCTTGTTTTGTTTGTAAACCTTTAATGAATGTATAAGATGATCTCCAACTTTTGCATATATGAAGTATTTGTATTTTACTTGTCCTTGTTAAAAGATTTGCATTTTAGCAGTTCAAGCTTTTGTAAACTAGTTGGGTATCTCAAAAGAAAGAAAGAAAGAGTTTATATAAACTATTTGTTATAATTTGATTGCTTGAAAAATTCTTTCATCCTTTTTATTCCTCTCCATTTCTTTCAAGTGAAATATACGTTAAGGGAATATTTTTATACTTAATTCATTCTAAAATATAGAAATATTTTCATATTTTAAAGAAGAAATAAAAATATTTAATCTTAATTATCTTTTCATATTTACGCACTTACATGTTATGAGGAGGACCTAGGATTGGCACATAGTTATTCAACCAAAGCACATAGATTACTAATTCCCTATATCAAGATTATGCATATTATTGTTGTATAACATGATTATCATCCCACGAAAGCATGTACTGGAGTGAGAGAAAGTTGGAAGATTTTACCTAGGGTAGGGAGGTGGTAAGGTTGAATTTGAGGTTTTTGATTCCCACCAGCCAAGCTGCCATGTTCTCCTCGTTTTCCTGAATTCCGCCGTCTCCAGCTGCCATCTCTCGCCCTCTTTTCTTTCTGTCGGTTGGTTCTGACTTCTGCGTTACTCTTTTCTTTTGGGAGCTTTTAGAGTTCCGTTTCCAAATTGTCTTTCACTTCTTTGCATTAGTTCCTGTTAAAAAAGATAAGCTCGAAATTTTGAGATGTGATGATTGGATAATCCTAATTGAGAAGGAGAAATGTGGGTATTTGTCCATTCTAATCCTGAATCATCCTCATTGGTCAGAAATCCACTATAAAATTATTACACATTTTGTTTTACCATTTATCTGTGGTTCTATTCTGTTACACCAAAATTTAATGTCTCTAGTAATCACAGATAGTTAAATTTCTAAACTGAATCTCATAATTGATTCAGAATCAAGATTTAGTCATGCATCAGACTAGTTTTGGTAAAAAAAAAAATTGTGTGTGGGAAAGGTACTAAACTAGGCTAGGACTTCCTGCCTTTTAATCTGTAATTTAAAAATTATTATTGTCATTAAAATCTCCTAAAAAGACCCAAAATTAGTTTCTTCAAACCTAAGTTTTTAAAAGCCTAGCTGAAAGCCTTGTAATTTATATTTAAGCCCATGTTAATTAAATTATTTATAAATATTAAGATAAAATTATTTGAATCTTATTATATTTTTCGGATGCTTTTGAATCATAGTAAGTTAACTAGTATTAATAACTCATCTCTATAATTATTATATCAGTTTATCTATTCTGTATTTTTAAAGTTTAGTCACACAAATAAAAAGTAATTGTTGAGTAATAATTATTATTTTTTATTAAAAATAATTATTACTTTTTATTAAAAATAATTATTATTTTTTTGTTTTGAAAAGAAAAAAAGTTAACTTTTGTTTTAATTGTAAATGTTATACGTTTTTTTTTATTTTGGTTGCATAATAAGCAATAATCTCTCATCCTTTGTCTTACTACACCTGTATACCATGTAACTCGAACTTAAAATCTTTTATTTTTAATGAAAAAAAAATAACTACTCAATTGCTTAAATTATTGGTGTAAATGTTTTACATTAGTTTTTTATTGCTCCATTTTAAATTAAAAATTAGAAGTTATCTTTTTAAATTTAAAATTTTACTTCTTTTTATTAAAAAAGTTACAATCATTAATTTTGAATAATTACTTTTTATTTTGTACCGAATAAACAAATCGCTATTATATTAGTATTATTATGTCTAAAAATTTGATATACAAATACTCCCTCCGTCCAGGAATAAATAATAGACGTTTTTTTTACTTTCGTCATAACCTGATCTTGATTGGGATTAAATTGAAGAAAAAACAACCAGGGGACTAAATTGACGAATGCACAGAAAATGAGGATCAGAAATAAATCCATAAACCAGCGTCGTTTTATTTCTGGGGTGATATCAAAATAAAGGCACGGTTCATGCCTTTGGAAGCTCTTACAATCCCCGTCTGAGTATAAGCCCTGTTTGATATGATAGTTTAGAGTAGTAAGTAACAGTTTTATCTAAATTATTAAAAATAGATATTTAGTAAATTTGTTTATTTTAAAATTGATATAAATTAAGCATTTTGTTAAATTGTTATTTGATAATTTGAAATTAATGGATAGTAATTATGATCTAAATTACTAACAAAATTGAAAAAACTGTTTAAGATGCTTTTTGTATAAAACTATTAGTAAATTAGAATTTTTAATTTTATTGATAAATTTATATTTTTTAATTTTTTAATTTTTAGTTATAATTCTTAATTAAAACTTATCTAATTAATTTCAACTTTTTTTTTGTTTTTTATAACATTAAGTGATTATTATATTTTTTATTTTTACATTAATTTATCTAGAAAATAAATTAATTTAATAAACAAAATTTACTAATTAGGTGAAAAGATTAAAATCTTTTTATACTTTATTTTAAAATAATATAATTTTTTTCTTTATTAAAAATAAAAATTAATGTATAATTACATTATTATAATTTATTTTTTTTACTATTATTTTTATAAATTTAA